GAAGAAAAGAAGGATAACATCCGTAGAAGTATGCATAATTTCACTCCTCTACAAGTAAGTGAAGAGTATAACAATTTAAGGGCTAAAATAAAAGCTGAGATAGATCGTGCCTATAAAAACTATATTAAGGAGATGGAAGAAAACATAACAACGATTCAAAATCCTTTTGGCAATTTATGAATAATAAAAGAAAATCACCTTCATTTCCGAAGGTTATGATTCTAGATGATATTGAATGTGTGCAAAATCATACTTATCGTATCAACTCCGACGTCACTTGTTACATGGGTGTTGCACAATAATGAAAACGTAATATTGACAGTGGTAGAAGGAAGCGCAAAAACAATCGCTTAGGTGGGAAATTCTGGAAGAAAGCCTAAATAGTGGAAGTGGGAACAGTGTGGAGATGGGTAGTAAGAAGATCGGCGGCCAGTGTGACAAAATAGTGAAAAATCAAAGTATTTAACCCGTATTAGTTAGCAGGTAATTATTCTCTAAGTACTTTGTTGTTAATTGTTCTATGTAATCTTATGATTGTGATAATTATAGACGTTTCATGATAATAATTCTGAATATATTTAGCCTCCATTGTTTTATGCTCAAGGGCGTATATTTTTCTAACGTAAAATTGTTATAATTATTATTAAAGATTGCTCATTATTTATGTTAAAATATGTATATATTGTCGTGACTGCCCGGATAATGCAATAACAATTCCTTTGTTTCACATTTAACTTGTTTTATTATGATTACGTTGTTCGAAAAACAAATAATAAAGCATTTCTTGTGCTCACTTTATGTCATACGCATATAAGACCCTTGTTGAAATTACTAACATTTTCGCCCTTGAGGCACGAATCTGAAAAAAAGAATAATTAAATACTAAAACATCTTCCGAAATCTCAACTCATAGCTGGATTGCCTCCCGTATCGGAATCCAGTACCTTCCGGCCTGTCGGCTAACTAACACCAAACCTCTTCAGTTTTACTTGGAAGTGTGTCTGTCTGATTCGAGTGAGGTGACATTTAGTGACACATTAAATGAGTCGGGCGTTAATTATCATTAGCAAAGGATCCTAATTTATGCCTTTTGTTAGCGGTTGTTTTGCATTTATATTTGGGTAGTTAGAGCAACAATCGTGGGTTTCTCTGCCATGCTCTTTCCCCACAGGAGCTCTAGGTGAGCCTCTCACTCTCATTTTATGTTAAATGGTTGTTAATGTTTTTGTTGTTCTTTCTATTTGTCACATGTTTAATTTGAAGACTTGTACGCAAATAATAAAGTTAGGTGTATTTACTCTGCTTTTGTTTTATAAAATTAAACCATACTTCCCCTCTTTAAAGGTAGTAGCCAGCGCCTTCCGGTCAATTAAAAAATAGATACATACAACGTAGGTATTCCTTATGACGATCACATATTTTTGACCATAACTACGTTTATATATTTTTTTTCGATCGAACCCGGGTTTGTTATACTAGAAATGTAAGGGTGGAAAGGCAATATCAGATGCATTTGTTAAGCATTTTAGTAGTGTATATAATATCGGCTCAACTGAAAACAACCAATTATAAATAACAGTATGGGTCAAGTAAGTTTAAATACTATAATGACTGAGGATATTCGTGAAGCAATTATGAACTTAAAAGTAAACAAGGCTATTGGAATTGATAAATTACCCGCGTACATTGTAAATCCTTCGTTGTTCCACTTTGTTATTTTATTTAATTTAAGCTTAAAAACGAATGTGTTTCCAGAAATCTGGAAAGAAGTTCGTATTTGCCCTGTGTTTAAAAATGAGGACAAAAATAATATAAAAAATTATAGACCAATAGCAATTCTTTCAGTGCCAGCAAAAATTTATGAATATATAATTTTCAAAACTATTTATAGTTCAATACATAATATAATTTATGTACATCAGCATGGCTTTATGAAACATAGATCAACTGCTAGTAATTTAATTAATATCACTCAGTACATATCACAAAGCTTACATGACGGAGGTCAAGTGGATGTTGTATATACTGAATTTCATAAAGCATTTGATTCTGTATCGCATGATCTAATTTTATATAAACTGAAAAAATGAATTTGGATTTCATGACAATCTTATTAAATTAATTACGACTTATTTGCAAAACAGAAAACAATATGTCTCCATACGCGGTTAAACATCCATTCACTTCATTGCTTTATCCGGTGTCCCTCAGGGTTCTAATCTTGGGCCTCTACTATTTCTAATTTACATTAACAGCCTAACAGAAATTATTACTTCATCACAATATTTATTTTTTGCAGATGATTTAAAAATATATATCAAAATCGATAACGGGTTAAATACAATATCACTACAAAATAACTTAAATAAAATATATCAATGGACATCTGACAATTTGTTACATTTTAATATAAAAAATGTGTAACCTACTATGACGTATGCTAAGAAAAATAGCCCTATATTATACGAATATAAAATAAATGATATACCGTTATCCAGGGTTGAAACAGTGAGGGACCTACTTTCGACACAAAGCTTAATTTTAATTGTCATATATATCCCATGGTAAACAAGGCTATGAAAATGTATGGATTTATAATACGTAATACTAAAATGTTTACGAATTTACATGCTATTAGACAGTTGTATATATCTTATGTTAGATCACAACTTGAATACTGTTCAATCATTTGGAGTCCATTTTATATTAGTTATATAGATGAAGTTGAGAGGGTACAAAATAAATTATTACTTTTTCTATACTACAAGGAATTTGGTATATATAATATTACTCTTGATAAGAACTTAAGGAATTTGGTATATATAATATTACTCTTGATAAGAACTTAAGGAATTGGTATATATAATATTACTCTTGATAAGAACTTATTAAGAGAAAGATATAATCTTAAGTCCCTCGAGAGTATAAGGAAATCAGGTCACATTATATATTTGCACAAAATATTGAATGGTAATGTTGATAATCCTTCTTTTCTCTCATTAATATGTTTAAATGTACCAGCATATCCTACTAGAATTTCTAGAACTCTTTATCTTGAACTTGCTTCAACGAACTATCAAATGAACTCTCCACTCTAGAATTTGTTCTAATTACAATACCATCCAGTAAAATTGTGATATATTTAATATTAATGTAAATTGTTTAAAAACATTGTTAAATCGATTGTTTTAGATATTATTTATATTGTGTTTGTTTTTTATTGTATTTTATACTCTGTAATAGGGGTCTGCCTGTTGAGTATTAATAAGTAAATAAATAAATAAAGAAGTTGAAGTTACAGCAAAAAATGAAAAAATGGTTAAAACGATAGTATTTAATTATTTAAGTACATCTGGAGCACAGACATAATTTAAAATATAGTAAAAGATGACTAATAAGAAAAACACATATTATTATAAATGTTATTGTTATTTAATTCTAGTTGATTTGGCATTGAGGTCACATAATTTATTAAAGAATTATTACAAAACTAGTAGTTATTATACAAGCAATGCAGCTGACTATTTAATTTATAAATAAATATTTTAAATTATGTAATAAATTGTACATGAGTTTTAATACAACAAAATTGTTTTATAATTAGATATACAGTATGTCCACTGATGAAGTTGAAAATTAAGATTTAGTTTTTCATTTTGGGGCTAATAATAATTCTTGTTAAAATGTTCTGTTTGCTGTCAAAATGTAAAAAATCAAGTTAGCCAATATGTACAAGGTGTGTCCAGATCACAATCCAGATTTGCTATATCAACATGCCTTTTAATTGCTAATAACTTTATTATTATTTTATTTATTCGAAAATTACATTTTATCTAAACAGAAATATTTTTGCCCCTGACAAAAGCAACTTAATTTTTCAGATATAAAAGCCTTCTTCTATTCACTTTTTTAATCAAACAGGATGTTTACCAAAATGCCAAATTTTGTCATTGCTACCTATGATTAAAACCTTCTGGAGACACCTTTTGCATATCAAATGTTGCAAACGAATTGGTTATTTGTGTGTTTCTTAACAGGCATCGTGTATTTTTGAGTTCTAAACATTAAATCAACTACTTTATACATCTACAAGAAAAATTATGCAGATTTAAACACAGGCAAATTTTTTTAAAAGTGACTTTTCTCAATAAAATGAAAAATTAAAAAAAATTCCTCTTTTCAACTCTGTACACGGTATATATGGTTTCGATAATAAAACAAATATTTTTAAATTATCCTTGAAAAATATTAATTTTAAAATTCAATTAAATACGACCTAAAATATTAAATTATTTTCTATAATTCTATAATTTGTGACGTTTTTGATACTGCATCGAAAGAATCAGTGAAAATTTTGGTTTTATATTTCTGATTTGATAAAAGTAAATTTTTAATATCAGTCCTTTGACTGGTTATTTTAGCGAAAGAAGTTATTTATTTAAAATTTCTCTTTCTTTTCATAAATTTAGACAAAATTTTAAATGATGTTAAAATAATTGTTTCCAAAAATTTTCTAATATTGTTACCCTCGTTTATAATATTAACAATACCATTTTAAGAAAATTGTAATCTTAAAAACTAACAAGCAATTGCGTCACCTTGTTAGTGCAAAAATGTCTTTGTTTATACGAATTTCTATTCACATTTTATTTGAAGAGTTGAATTTAATGTTACAATTTTCTGAAAGAAACAAGTCCATTGCAGTTCAAAAGTTACTTACTTCACCATTTAGATATCTATCTAATCGCATATTTTTATGCTTCACTTAAAACATATGGAGTTTTTTTCTTCTATTTTCTATAAACATTTAAGGGGCCCCATACACTGCATTGCCTTCACGGTCGACGATTATACCTCTCGTATAAGAATTGTAACGACAAAAACTGTTACAAACTGAGGTGTATTGACGAAAATCTACGTCGGTTATACATACACTAAGAAAAAGTACAAGTGAAACAACATTTTTCATTTTTGTTTTTTTATTTTATTTATGTAAAATTTTAAGGGGCCTTACAGGTCATCAACGGAGGAAGAACGCACTCACAGGTAACCTTCATGTCCATTCCGAAATAACTGATATTTTTGACAACGCCTTCTCCAAGGTTCACCATCTTAGGTCCAAAATTACAGGCTAGATCTAAAATTAGCAGTAGGTACACAAAAGCTATCGTTACACATACTTTGAAGTAGAACTTACTCGTTTTTTTATTGACATTCGGGGACAGACTTACTATAGTGTCATTTTCAGAATCTGGAAAATAAAATCGTATCAGATTTGTTCCTAATCCTCATCACCATCGCCCGAAAATTATTTTTAAAACAGATACTTACGACAAACCCAGTCGTTAGGACAGCACAGCGCAGTTTGTCCTGGCAAAGGCAAGTACAGGGGTGCGCAGTGGTTTCCTAGTTCTTCGTAGTCTACCACTTGAGTAGCGCACAGACTTCTCTTACAGAAAGGCTCCTCGACTATCCCCCTGAAGCCTTTCCTACACGAGCACTTGGAACAGGAGTTAGAAGGCACGAAAATTTCTCCTTCTTTGTACCTTCTCCCTTCGAATTCGCATTCGTATATTTGTTTTCCTTGGTGCACTAAAAAAATGTAAAATTTGCGTTATAAAACAATTTAGCACACAAACAGTACTTACTACAAATGGTTCCTACAGCGCAACACTGCTCGGGAACGTATTGTTTGTAACACAGTGTAGAGTTATAACTCATAGACCATTCCGTACAGTTCTTGATACCACACTTGTACTTATCATACCTAAAAATATTTTACAAAAATGAAAGGTTCAGGACTTCCAAATAAACATATTTACCCTACTGGATCCACACATTTGCAATCATAAAAACAATTCTCCATAATCAAACTATCGTCGACTTTTTCGTTTATGTTGTACCTTTTTCCCCTGAAAAGACACGTTTCTTTGTACGTCTTGAAAGGAGTGCAGCTGTACTGTGTCGGACAGGAGTTGCCTGGTTCAAAAACAGGTTTACATCCTAGATCTTCGTAGAGGATGGTCCCCAGGTGATCGCAACTGAGTAGTCCTACAATTTCACACAAATGTGTACACTTAAAAACAACATTATTAATAATATCTTACTGGCTCTAACTATCCATATTACCCCGACGATTAAACATGAAAAAAATAATAGTCGCATGTCGTTCTGTGTAATGGATGTTTGTAGTTGAATATTCGATGGCCTACTAACTGGGAATTAGTACTCACTTGTAAACAGAAATTAACGTTGACGTAGCATTAATTTGTTTTTAATTTGTCAGCTTTGTTTAGTATATTCTATATGCCAGGAATAACTAGCATTAATCACATAACAATAGCAATAGACTTATTCGGGGTATATTGAAAAATGGATGATGAATGGGGACGTAATGTCGCGAGGTCTTTGAGAGATTAATTAAAATATAACTCATAAAAAAAGTGTACGTATTTAATTCATTTTCAAAAACGCCTTTTCTAAACAGTATGTTGTGGCAGTTATAGGAGTTGTTAAAGCGAAAACAAAATGGTGAAAAAGTACGTTTCTAAATAGCACAATTAAAGTATTATACAAGAAAAGGTTGTAAATGTTTGTAAAAAAATATCTAGTCGAAGTTTGGTAGTCAAATAATTTTTTTTAATAATAATCTTTGAACCAGTTGAAGTACCAATTCCAATTTTGGTAAACGTTTTTTACTGGTGATGATTTATGTTTATGTAGCTTCACAAAATTTCATCTACTTCTTATCTCGATAAAAAACTTAACATTTTTTTTTGTCTCTGTGTTGAGTTCGTATCATAAAAAAATATTGCACTTGAAAAACTTTTCTAAAGAACACGGACTTCTGACAAACATAAAAAGAATATTATCTACCATAACAGCATATTTTACTAAGGATCAAAGAAAGATATATTCACCTTCATATTACAAATTAAGATAATTTAGACGCTATATACGGAGAAAAATGCTATTATATTTTTAATGACTCCTCTGTACTTGACCAGTGTCTCTTTAAATCTATGTACAGTGTGGCTACGATTTAGGTGACACAGGCTTATAACTCAGGTGTTAATTGACGAATTCTTTTCAAATTTTAACCACTTATGCAGACCAATGGGGTGCACATTTGAGGATCATTAAACTTACGTATATCCATAGGTGTGCGTTAGGGGAAATTAAAAGGGGGTCGATTTTTCGGTATTTTTTATTAGCGAATAAAATACGGAAATGCTGATGCCTTAGTCTTAATCAGTATCATCGAAAATATACCCATGTCAAGTTTCATCTACATCGTATACTGGGTTGTACAGAAAATTCATTTAATACAAATGTAAATGATTTAGGTGACACAGGCCTATAACTCGGGTGTTAATTGACGAATCCTTTTCAAATTTTAACCACTTATGCAGACCAATGGGGTGCACATTTGAGGATCATTAAACTTACATATATCCATAGGTGTGCGTTAGGGGAAATTAAAAGGGGATCGATTTTTCGGTATTTTTTATTAGCGAATAAAATACGGAAATGCTGATGCCTTAGTCTTAATCAGTATCATCGAAAATATACCCATGTCAAGTTTCATCCAAATCGTATACAGGGTTGTACAGAAAATTCATTTAATACAAATGTAAATAAGCTAATACAGACTGGATAACAAAAAAAAATAGGTATAACAAAACTCAGTTTATTTTCTTAGTTTCAATGTAGCCGCCATCTCTCCTTATACATTCTTCTGTTACCTTTCTTATATGACGATTTACTTTTCGCAGTTGTTCACAAGAAATGTTTCGGCATGCCTCTCTTATTCGTCGTTTTAAATCTTCCATGTTTTGTGGACGATTGGTGTAAACTTTATTTTTAACTGTACCCCAAAAATAAAAATCCATTGGTGTAAGATCAGGAGACCTGGCTGGCCAGTCCTGCAGCGGGCTACGAGGCCCTATCCACTTTAACGGAAAATTAGTATTCAGCCAGTTTCTAATTATTCGCGAACTATGTGCAGGAGCACCGTCTAACATAAAATATAAATTCTGTCTAGCATCTAGCGGCAGATTGTCCAAAACATCAGTAAATTCCGTTTCCAAATGACGTAAAAAATTTTGGGCGTTTAAAGTTTCTATAAAAAAGGGTCCGATAATTCGATCATTAAAAATCGCGCACCAAACATTCACTTTATAAACATACTGATTCTTAGCATTCATTATCCACCTGGGATTGTCTCTTTCCCAATATCGAGAGTTCTGCGTCGATACAACACCATTTGTAGAAAAAGTAGCTTCATCGCTAAAAATTATTTTTTTCAAAAAATTTCTGTCGTTCAGAAATTCGCCTTGCACCCAGAAAGCATAGTCTAGCCTCCTTAAATTGTCTCCTTCTAAAAGAGTGTGTAAAATTTTTGGTTTAAAGGGCTTCAATTTATTCTTTTTTAGACATTTTCTTATGGTCTCTTTGTTTAAATTCAAATTCAATGCCGCATGTCGTATGCTTAGTCGTGGATTATTTCGGAAAGCATCTAAAATCCTATTTTCGTGTAAGTTTGCTCGTCGGTATTCTTTTGGTCTTATAAATGTCATTTCATTTAAACAAAATCGTTAGACATGGATATCTGGATTTTGCATTACTGTGTGAATACAATATGCAATGTTATTTTTTGTATTAAACGAATTTCCTGTACAACCCTGTATACGATTTGGATGAAACTTGACATGGGTATATTTTCGATGATACTGATTAAGACTAAGGCATCAGCATTTCCGTATTTTATTCGCTAATAAAAAATACCGAAAAATCGACCCCCTTTTAATTTCCCCTAGCGCACACCTATGAATATACGTAAGTTTAATGATCCTCAAATGTCCACCCCATTGATCTGCATAAGTGATAAAAATTTGAAAAAGATTCGTCAATTAACACCTGAGTTATAAGCCTGTGTCACCTAAATCGTAGCCACACTGTATATTAACTGTAATATAGATGACTGTTAATGTTAAATAATTTGATTCGTGTAATACTTCAGAAGTTTTTAATTAGTCAATTTTTATGCCTAAAGTACATATTAATATATGTATGTAGTTAGACTTATTTTACCATTATGTATTTCGTTTTTATTTATAGCTACTTTGAGCAAATTTAGCAGATTGAAAAATCTTTCTTGTAGTGTAAGAATAATGTCAATAAATTCTAAGTCGGCAATCTGCAACAACTTTGCCATTAACAAAATTAGTTAAAAGGCATTATTGAGGACATACCTTTTTTTTCGTATACCTACATTAATAAGTTTGCATTCATTTAGTATAAAAATATTGTGTTAAATATGATATATAAATGTAATAATAATATAATAATACAATAATATTATGTTTCTCACATATTTCTTTCTCCTTTTTTATTATACAGGATGTTTTGAAAAAAAGTAACACGAATAGTACCGGTGAATCTACAGCTAAAATAAACACGTTTTGAATAAAAATGACCTTAGTAAACTGTTCATCCCTTAGGAGATACAGCCTCTCAGTTTCCAAAAAAATATGGAATAGCGGCAGTAATCTGATAACCAAAAAAAAGTATAATAGTCTTTTACACAAATTTTTTACTAATGCACGTGCAACTTCTCAACAATTTTTCCGAAAATGTCTGCCTCTTGGAGGAGGTTAAGTTATTTTTTACTACAACTCTTTTGTTTGACAAAAATTGAATATTTAAAAATAATAAGGTATCAGCCCAGTTTATGTTAAAACTTTTACCCCTCTCACTTGTTTGCTTTAAGACTAACCGTTTATTAACAAAAAATTTAAATTCATTCTCATTTTGCTACCTCTGAAAACATTAATGAAATAAATCCTTGCGTCAAAAGAATTGGTCAAAGGTTATTTCGTTATTTGTACGAAAACCAAACACACAAAAACGCAGTAATACAAAATTCACCTCGCTTTATATCGCCCACTTCAAAAAGTTGTTGCCGTTTTGAAAATGTATTTGATTTCAACTCTCGATCTTCCCCCACTACTCGACTGCATACGCGCGCTCGGTTGTTTTTGAGCATGTTTGGAATAATATTTCACCTATTTCGCATCATTTTATCGAAAAATTAAAATATACAGTTTTCAGTATTATACTTCTACTTTTAAAATCCGACTCAAAAATTAAAATCGGACCACCTCCAACGCATCCAAAAGTTTTGCAAAATAGTGCACCAAAAAATTCAAATTGCAATTGTCCAAAACTAATGGTCCGACAGCGCCTGCTTTGTGCACACTTAAAGTACATATAATTCACTATTTTTATGCACAGAGTCAGCTACAACTGCCGCCAAAAAATGGCGGAGTGATGAATTTTAAAAAAATTAAATAAATTTTCCGATTTTTCTTCGTTTATGATTATGCGATCAGACCTCTCGTTTTATTCGAGTTTCGATTTTCTAGAAATTATCTCTATAGCATAAAGATTGCTTCGTTAATTTAGGTTTTATAAGCAAAAAACTAAAATAAATGCGTTTTATGTTTATAAAAAATTAATTAATAGTAAATTGGAGTAGGAAACATATAAACATATATTTACAGACTGTCTTTTATATGATGGCACAGTCCGTTTGCTACTAGTATTTTTGTCACAAAATCACTGATTTAATGTTTTGCTGATTTGCCTATATCTGTTTTTGTCTTCTGACTTTTTATTAATAGTTATTTTTGACAGTTTAAATTTGCTTATTTTTGTCTGCTTCTATAGTTAGATGTGTCATAAGATGTTCATTTAATTATTAGTTACTTCATCTTTTAGAATTTACATATAGCCAATAAGGATTCAAGTTCAACAGTATTTACCTCTTTGTTTATTGGTATTATTTTCCCACTCCAAAATTTTGGCGGAACCCAATTAAATTATTTATAAGACCTCAATTTCTCTTAACTTTCGTTTTTTAAAGTAGTGAGATTTCTTCAGCATAATATTTATTGTATTCAGTATGCTATATTCTTTGAATATTCAAAATAATTATTTGGGTGCGTCTTTTACTGTCTCGTCTGTAGCTGTCAAAGTTGTCTGTATAATCGGAAAAATTGGGTAAAATAGGTAACAAATTTAATATTGGAACGGATTTCCAGATATCTTATATTCTTGTTAAAACATCACAATTGCAAAGGTCGACACGTATAGATCTAAACTATTTCTGCATTTCTGAATTAATTTTCTGAAT